ATGATGTTAAAAGAAAAATTCTCAAATTGTTTGTAAATTACCTGCAAATGTCCATTGCGTTTGAAAGTTTAAATTTTCATATTGTGTAATAGATGTTAGAAGATGATCAATCCTTGGTTAAATAAAGAATGTTTTATGCTCCTCATTGGTCTTCAGTTTCTGGGCTTATGCATCCAATTTGTTAATTTGTGTCTTCCTGTCTTGATGCCAAATGATGTGTAAAACATGTAAAGAGCATAATAAATTGTTGGGGAATCAAATAAAGAGGCTTTTTGAGCTTAGATTGGCTTTGATTGGATAGGTGATCAGTGCATTGGCAATGATTGTTATTGGTTAATGTGTTCCAAAGATAGCATGATATTATAGAGAAAATACATTTTATACTGTACTTAAATATGCATGTTGAATGCAAATTGAATCATTTGACAGCTAGGAACTATAGATGACAGCTGTTTTTTTATTTCATTTTTATTTCTCACTCTTGTTATTAGATATATTTATATAGCTCTCTTTTCTTTTCATGTATCTAAACATGTCACCAATGATTAAAAAAAACAAACTGTATTAATTAAAACATAATAAAGTTGAAAGAAAAATTGGGTTATCCATCATTAATTTTTGCTTAGTAAGTCAGAAAATCCATTTTTTAGTAAAAAGTAAGGTACCTGTTTTGAATTTGAAGGAAGGAGAAAAGGACTTCTTTTTTCATCCAGTATGATAAAGTGCCAAAAGCTACCCATTTGTTAGTTTCATTTCAGGTGGTGATATATGTGTTAGGTGAAAAACGCATCTCATATATTCATATTGTTCTAAGGTCAACCTTTATATTAATCATTTAATCTATTATTTATTAGCCATTTCTTACCTCCTCTTTTCTCTATGATAATGTGATATCTGTAATATTTTAGTTGCATGATTCACTGCATCTTGTCTTCTGGTTTTGTCATAGAAAGTGATAGTTGATTGTGTTGACGTGTTAACAGAAGTGTAATCGTAGTTTCGTATTTATTTCATGGTTTCTCTTATTTTCATTTTCACTGAGTACATAGACTTCACTGGCAAAAGAAATACAAAAAAAGGAAAAAAAGAAAATACTCAGGTTGGCCATAATATTCTGTGCAAGGAATCATAGCCATCGTCAGCTGCCATTTTTCAGAGCAATATTGTTTAAAATGTGAAATTTGTTGTAGAAAGAAATATTTTTTAAAGTCTGTGAGATTTAATTGCCTATTTATTTTAGAATATTGTTGGCTGATTAATAATAAATGAATAAAATTAAGACTGGACTTGGACATTTGTTCAGATGTTATGAAATGTTGCTGATCGATGTCATTAGATCTTAGGGGGAAATAATGCTATTAACATTGATCCAAATTTTTATTCCACACAAGTTGCAACAGTTTGCCCCACAGCTAGGCAGACTGCTTTATGCCAGCGTTTTATGCAATATGTAATAGGAAGTGCCTCAAAACATAGATGTGATTGCAGATTATTCTGAACATTGCAGAACATCCCCATGTATAGATACTCTCTTGAATGTTTAATGAGATTAATATGTACAGTTGTATAAGGGTATCTACATTTGTCTCGTGTCACTCATGGAGTTTAAAAGTAACATGGTAAAATATTTTTGTGAAATTAAACACAAAGTGTGGAGGAATCAGAGCATTTCTCAGAGTTCGGGTCAGGAGCTTTCTGGCCTGACTTGTTGTGTGTCAAGTGCCGGGTAGTCATTGCTGGAGGGCTACTCGCCAGACAAAGGTATAAAAAATTGGCCCAAGTGCTACTGCATCTGAGGGGAAGCAATGCTAGCAAGTCAAATATGTGAAATGACATACAGTAATGTAGAGGGTATAATAGGAGAGCCAGATTTGTCCAACCTGGTCTAAAGAAAGCTTTAAAAAGGTAGATTCTGTAAAATGAGTAATGAAATATAGCTAACAAATTATTTGGTGTTTTATTCCCAAGGATATTGCGTACCAGTTATATTACATATAAATTACAAATTGTGAACTATTAGAATTTATGAAGAGAGAAGAATATGATACAAGTCATTTTTTTCCTGCATAAGAACCTTGAATACATCCAAAAAGTTATTTTTCACTTATTGGAATCCAACATGAATCATGAGGCAGAAACTGAAATGAAAGCCTATTCATAAACAAGATTATGAATCTCTTGCAAGTCCCATCTTATATAGGATTTAAAGTGTTAATGGATGTACACACACACAAACAGAAACACATATAAAAGGTTAAAACTATTTCAGCAAGCAAAGTTATAGTGACTGTCAATTCTTATTTGAACTTCACTCCATTAAACACCTCAATAAATGCACTAAAATTGAACATACATTACATAAAGTATGAGTTTACATTCACTCTATTGTATATTTTATTTACAATCCCTATTTTGTTTTTTTGCTATATACAGGAAATTTTGTCTGTGTCAAGACTTGTACGATTAAGAAAATTAATGACAAGGTTTTCTATGTAGGGAATATGTGTTTGTAGTGGAAATGTCTGGGTAGAAATTTTGAAGATTTTAGATACCAAGGTATTTTATGATGCCATAGGTGTTGTTTTTTTTTTGAGAGAGGAGATATATTCATAACCAGGTATGGAAGTGAGGATTATGAAAACAAAATTCCATTTACCTATTCACATGTATTTTTTAATAATGCCTTGAAACCTTTTCTGAGAATGGTTTCACCTCTTTCTAGCAGTCTGAAGACACAAGCTAGAAAGTTGTAATTCATATAGCCTTGACAAATGTATGATGGGAGAGAAGTTTATTAAGGTTCATATTCAGTTTCTTTCTGGAAGACAGTGAATAAAGAAGTCTGAATGCTTAATTGTTATTTCCTCCATTTTCATGTCATGCAATTGTTTGATAAATGTCTCTGTGTAGGTATATTACAATACCTCTATTATTTTTTATCTTGGTGTTAAGATATAGAACTTTTACCCCCCCCCCCCCCCTAGAGGTATATAACTTCCATCATATGAGGCCTGAAGGATATCAGGAATAACACTGAAACATAAAACTAGATTCAATTGATATTATATTGTATAGTATTTCAATTATTGTAATTCAGAGTGCATTAAACTGTTTCTTACAGTAACTATTTCTAATCACTTCCCATAATATTTGGGGTCAGTCGCATTATATATATATGCATATTTTTGTACAGTCTGATTTTAATGCTATCTTGCTTCTAGGTAACTGTGAGTCAAGCTTAATTGTCATTTTAAGTTACTAGAATTCCCAAATTAGATATTCATTCTACTGTTCTCCTTTTCAGTAAGGATACTACATTCTTCTTTTAAAGGTATATTGCAGTTTCTAAAATGGGAAGAAATGGTAAACAGTATTTGAATCTTTTTCTTCCATAAAATAGATGTGTCTGGCTTTTTAAATATCTTATTTGTATACAGTTCAGTCATTTTTCCCTTGTGTTTCAAACAGTTACACTTTACCTTTTTTTTTTCTTTTTTTTTTTTTTGAGTGTGTATGACATGACATAACAGCAATGTGAAATGACATCTTTTTCTCACATAGATGATTATTCCACAACAAAATCATTTCACCTGAACTTAACATCCTAATGTGAAAAAAAACACATCACCAACTTTCCTTACACATACAATAAAAAGGGGAAGAAATAAAACATAGACATTTATCCCACTTAAGCCTTTTATTTCCTCTTGTGAAAATATTTATACTCTGGGCCACAATGGCATATTTGAGGGTCTGAGTACCAAGCTTACAAATGAGTTAACTATTTAGGCTTGAAGAGGAGCTTTAACACAAGTTTCTCTGCAACAATAAAGCCATAGCAATTTACAAATGAATAGAAAGTCAAATTGGCACTTAATCAGCATCTATTTCATCATGGGGTTTGGCAAGGCATTCAAAATCATCGTACACATCACCGAGTAAGATTGGTTTTGAAGAATCCTCGCTCTTATACGATCTGTAGGTTGATCACTGTTAGAATTTGCCCAAAAAATAATAATCATAATAATCAAGAAGAAAAAAAAAAAAAAGCAATCTGAAGACACAAGCTAGAAAGTTGTAATTCATATAGCCTTGACAAATGTATGAGGGGAGAGAAGTTTATTAAGGTTCATATTCAGTTTCTTTCTGGAAGACAGTGAATAAAGAAGTCTGAATGCTTAATTGTTATTTCCTCCATTTTCATGTCATGCAATTGTTTGATAAATGTCTCTGTGTAGGTATGTTACGATACTTCTATAATTTTTTATCTTGGTGTTAAGATATAGAATTTTACCCCCCCCCCCCCTTAGAGGTATATAACTTCCATCATATGAGGCCTGAAGGATATCAGGAATAACACTGAAACATAAAACTAGATTCAATTGATATTATATTGCATAGCATTTCAATTATTGTAATTCAGAGTGCATTAAACTGTTTCTTACAGTAACCATTTCTAATCACTTCCCGTAATATTTGGGGTCAGTCGCATTATATATATATGCACATTTTTGTACAGTCTGATTTTAATGCTATCTTGCTTCTAGGTAACTGTGAGTCAAGCTTAATTGTCATTTTAAGTTACTAGAATTCCCAAATTAGATATTCATACTACTGTTCTCCTTATCAGTAAGGATACTACATTCTTCTTTTAAAGGTATATTGCAGTTTCTAAAATGGGAAGAAATGGTAAACAGTATTTGAATCTTTTTCTTCCATAAAATGGATGTGTCTGGCTTTTTAAATATCTTATTTGTATACAGTTCAGCCATTTTTCCCTTGTGTTTCAAACAGTTACACTTTACCTTTTTTTTTTTTTTTTTTGAGTGTGTATGACATGACATAACAGCAATGTGAAATGACATCTTTTTCTCACATAGATGATTATTCCACAACAAAATCATTTCACCTGAACTTAACATCCTAATATGAAAAAAAAAAACACATCACCAACTTTCCTTACACATACAATAAAAAGGGGAAGAAATAAAACATAGACATTTATCCCACTTAAGCCTTTTATTTCCTCTTGTGAAAATATTTATACTCTGGGCCACAATGGCATATTTGAGGGTCTGAGTACCAAGCTTACAAATGAGTTAACTATTTAGGCTTGAAGAGGAGCTTTAACACAAGTTTCTCTGCAACAATAAAGCCATAGCAATTTACAAATGAATAGAAAGTCAAATTGGCACTTAATCAGCATCTATTTCATCATGGGGTTTGGCAAGGTATTCAAAATCATCGTACACATCACCGAGTAAGATTGGTTTTGAAGAATCCTCGCTCTTATACGATCTGTAGGTTGATCACTGTTAGAATTTGCCCAAAAAATAATAATCATAATAATCAAGAAGAAAAAAAAAATCAAAGTAACAGTAAGTGAAGAATCACACGTACAGACTGAAAGATGAAAGATTGCCGAGAACTTCTCTAGCAATTTACGAAGAATCTGATGGCAAAAAAAATTGCAACTTTCATTCTTACAACTAAATACAAGCATGGAAACTCAATCTATGAACTTCTGTATACTTTGGGGGAAGAGGAGGGAAATAATATATACTTTTTTTTGCATTTTTTGCTTTATGTATCCTAGCCTTCAGTAGCAGAGCAAATCAAGCACATATTATTTTTTTTTATAAGTTTTTAAGTACCTATAATAATTTAGAATGTTAGCTAAATAATATTTATTATAATTTCAACAACATAACAGGAACAGTAAACTTTTCTCCAATGGTTAGGCACAACTATTGGTGAGCATTTATAGATATAAGCCAAGCCTTAACGTAGAGGGAGCACCGTGTATACTTCGGAAGAAAAAAAATTAGAGAAAAAACTATAAAAAGAATCTCTTTCATGGATGATACATATATAAGTAAACATACACACTGACAGAGAAAGAAAGAAATACTCTTCTCAACAATTTTGTGTCTGCATATAAAACTGGATGGATTTACCCCACTTTTTTTTCACAGTAAAAATTACACAGCAATTTGTCTGCGATTAGAGTTGGATGGATTTGTTCAGCACAAAAGCTACGTCCCTTTCTAACCTAAACCATTTGTGAATTCTAAATGAGCGTAAGTTTCCCAGTCCAACATAGTGAATCTATCCTTAGTGTTGAAAGGTACGTTCATGAGGAGTTATGAATAAATTAACAAGATAGTGACAAAAAAAAAAAAAGTTGAAAAAAAAAGAAAAAAAAAAAATGCCATTTAATTACAGCTAACCATTTATAAAATTAATGTCATTCTTAGGAGATATGCTATCAGGAGACGACCAGGAACCACAAATCCAGGGTGGGTAGGTGTGTGTGTGGGAAGGGGGGGGTTGGGGTAAGAAAAAGGAGGAGAAAACAATAGAAGAGAGATAAGAACCAAGGGAAAAAGGAAAAGGGAGAGAGAAGGAAAGGAAAGGGAAGGGGGGAGAGGGAGGGAGGGGGGGGTGTTGGAGAAGGAGTGGCCGACGAATCCGAACTTGCGAGTGAATTAACACGTGACGTGGAAGGGTGACCCTGGAATATGGTCGTCGCCCCACTTCACTATGAGGATGTAGTCGCCCTTGTCGCGGATGACGTAACCGATCTGCGGAGAGAGGGGGGGTGTGAGCACATGACAGGTGGATGCGTAAAGTCAGTTATTTGGTGAAAGATGGATAATAATTTTTTTTCTTCTTTTAACCTTACATTTTATTTTTTCTTTAGTAATATCTTTGACAGTTATGCAAAAGAAGAATTATTATCTTTGGTAATAAATGGAAGATATATTAAAGGCATCTTTCTTTAATGATACATAACATTTTATGACTTAAAAGAGCATTCATGAACTGAAATCCCTTGCTATCAAATAATGCATTTTCTCATAAATCAATTATTACCATTAATATGCTCAAAAGGTTGCATATATATTACAGACAAATCACGCTAAGTCAATGTTAATAACTGATAACTTTCTCATTATTTTTTTTCCATAACTGACATCCACTCCAGTTCTGCCATTAATGTTATGTATCATTCATATAAATCAATTAATCCATCACACTTTTTCCAAAAAAATATTATCAGGCCACATATTTCCTTCTTGGTACTTTGTCTCATCTTCACCAACATGAAAAGATAAAAGATAATATTGCATGCAACATGACATAGAATAACACTCGAGGGACAACAGCTGCAAAGGAGAGAACGGGGATGCATCAAACTCATTGAGTC